TCTCAAATACCCGACATTAAATTTGGCCTTGTGCCACATTTGACTGCGACGGGCGGTTGGTAGATATTCTGCAGTTGGAGATTCGTCACCAGCTGTGCTGGTCAAACTCTCTGCTTCCGGACAGAGATGATCCCCAGGCGAGGCTATGTCGAATAGCAGTGTCTCATCGCGAGAAACATCTACCAGGTTCTGTTTTATACGTGGTCTACGGGGAATCTTTGGCCGAACCTATGGGCGTGGAGACCCAACATTAAATTCAACCTTGTGCCATATCTGACCGCGTGAGGCGGTTGGTAGATATCCTGTAGTTGGAGATTCTTTGTGGAATTCACTTGACTCACTTCTAGCAGTTGACTACTACTTCTACGCGCCGCTGACGAATCTTATATGTGTTGCTCTTGTCCTAAGTATTATCGTTCATTATCAGTCTTCGTGCGATTATTCTATTCAGTAACCTTCCCTAGGTTACAACAATAACTATTACCAATTTTTGAACTTTGAGATTTAAATATCGTCTGAAAAAATGAACAAAAATATTTAATTTCCACAGGGTTTTGCTTACCGTTTTACTATTTAACGAATAAATCTAAATAAGGTCGATATTTTTTGTATTAGGTGCATTAAAAGGAAAATATTTACAGCAACGACCTACCATGCCACGTACACAGGAGGCGAACCATCCTGATTTCCTTCGTATTTCATTTCTAAGAAGGACGTTCAAGTCATACAATTTCGTTCCTCAGAATTGTTACATTATCGAATAAGCACAAAGGAAGATGCATTCCCGGATTACTGCAACCTTAACCTCTTCAAGTCAAGGGTCAACCGTTATCTATCCTTCGTAATCTGCATTTACCTCCCCCACTTACGTCCATACAACAACCCAATTTAGTAACCCTCTATTTTGGGTCTTGTATTGGTAGGGTAGGTTGATTTTTCATCTTTTTTAGAAAATCGATATTGCCATCAAGCTGATGTTTGATGTGGTAAGTACTGACACCAAAAATTAGATTCTTAGCTTTTTATTAATTTTTGAGAATTTAGCTTTAGAGACCGGTTGAAAAATGTACCTAATTTCCACAGTTTTTTGCTTACAAACGGACTTGAGAATTTTACTATTTCAAGAATAAATGCAAATAAAGTTGATACATTTTGTATTAAATACATTAATGAAAACATATTCAAACCAGAATTCTAATTATGAATCACCACAAGCAAATCATGTAATTTCTTACTGTATTCAATAAATAAAAAAGCCGTGTTAAAAAATTGTAAATGATGACGAAAAAGGCTAATCAATGAACAGGATATTACACCATTTGTTAGATCATAATTAATAAAAATAAGAAGTAGATGAAAATTTATACAATACCATAATACTACTGGGCACAAATTATAAAACAAAATGTTTTAAATTTCTATTGTCTTTTGAAAATCACACTATTGTTCAGTATAATTTCCCTTTGAAGTAAATGAAGGTCTTACTTGATGACACAATGATTGCAACAAAATCTACTCAATGAATAAGATTTGTTAGATCATTTCTTAGATCATAAGTAATTAAAACAAAAAATAAATGAAAGTGTATATAACGCCATAGTATTGCTGGGTACAAACTATAAGAGAAAATGTTTTAAATTTACATTGTTTATTGAAAATCACACTAAAACTACAGCACTGTATTACATTATAATATAGCTAAATTGTTTAGTATAATTTCCATTTAAAGTAAATGAAGTTCTTATTTGATGGCATTATATGATTTAGTAATAATATGCTTGTGCCATGCACCTTGTCCATGTACAATTTGTAAAGCTTCGGTAGGAATTTTAACTGCTCATTCTAATACTTTGCAAATGTGCGGGTAAATTCGGCCACTCCAAAGTCGTTCCAGTCATTAGAACATCCTCCAGTTCATTATTTGAAAAAGCCTGCAAACGCAGGTTCACAAACACCATTTTGTGAGAAGTTAATCAAATTTGACCAGTGTGTCGCTTCAGAGTTGATGTATGCAGTTTTTTTAATTTCGTCTTTGGTGGCTCGCTATCTTCTGAAACAAAACAAAAAAACAACTTTTTTATTCGAAAATCTATCCATATTTTTGTGATGTCATCTGAATGAAATTTTAAAATTAGTCTTGTGAGTTGACATAACTAATTAAGTATGACATAACTAATTAAGTAAGTTTAGTTATTTAATGGGCATTTTTTAATAGCCTCTTCCCTCACGTTCAATTAATCTCATTTCACCATTGATAAAAGAATATTTTTCTGGAAGCAAAGCAAAAGCATTGTGCTGTAAATGTTTTCTGTAACATTCTGTTTGTCTTTTGACTGTTGCTTTATTCTCTGGATCATGTTGAAGATATACTGATGTTGGTTATGAAATTTATTATCCTTTTTTAATTTCAAATCAACTAAATGCATATATTTTAATTATATATCTTATAAGGGATGTGCTATAAGGCTTTCACTTATCACCGGAACGAAATTCAAATGCTTCAACTTTGAATCTAAACTCAATCTCTAAACATGTTTCCCCAAAGAGCACTAACGATTTGGAAAAACAAATGTTTTTTATCTATCATGTCAAACATCAACTTTCAAAAATCGACCTGCCCTATTCTGTAATTTTTTTGCCAGTCTTTTCAACATGCTTTTCTTTCACTCCAAGTTTCTTCATCTTTCGGGATATTCTCCAAAAATCTTCTTCATTCAGGTCGTGGAAGATCATGACTTTCCACATCTTCCTATGCTTTGTAGCTTTAAAAAATGTATGTCCGCTTGTTGTCTCTACCAGTCTCTGTTCTGCAATACTTTTACAGAAGCTCGTTAGGTAGGCTAGTCGATGTTTCTTCTGCCCTTTTGCTCTTAGTATGTCCCGCGAGTGTCAAATTCTCCAACCTTCTTTCCTCATTACGTGTCCCAGAAATTTCAATTAACTCTTTCTGATTCCAAATAAAAGCGCTTTTTTTTTATTGTCGTTCACATCTTCTATCCATATATTCTTATCTTCTGTAGAACCACGTCACCGCTTTCCTCTAATACCATCTCCATCTGAACAAATTGTCCAGCATTCAATGTCATATAAGAGGACGGATATTACATAGAACTTCAGTACCCTTTCACCTGCCTTGGACATTTAGGACGTGGGCAATCATAGCTCTCTATAACTTTCTATCCTTAGAGCTATCAAGACAATATTTGTCGCCTTCCTATTTCTCTCAATCACTGTTCTGCGATATTTTTACGCGAATTCCTTATGTAGCTAACTCGTTGTTTCCCGCTTCACCTTTTGCAATATTTAGCTTGTTATTTTTTTTATTTTCCTGATTTATAATTTTCGGCTGATATATTCTTTAGTTGTTTCGTCGCTTTTCCGAATTTTTTGGCTATCATTTCCAAATTAATAAAAACTTAATTTTAAATTAAAATTTTATTAGCGAGAAACGATAAAGCATTTTTTTTAGTGATTTCACTCCAAGCCAGAACGAAGAGCGAGAACAATGAAAGAATAGAATTTAAGAGGACAGAAGATAAAGATTATTGTGGGGCTCGCCCCTTGTACACAAAATGGACTCGTCCAAGTATATTTATACTATGGAGAGAGTGCGTGACAAAAAAGGTCGACACAGGATGTTCACTCAGAGTTACGAGAGTCCAAAAAGAGAGATAATTACGGCTTCCATTACAGAGACTTGTAAATATACTTTTCTTCTAACCCGCATTCCTGGACTACTAATCTTCATTTCACTTTATATTCTTACGATTAATACACATATTTTTCCTATTCCTATTACTGGCGTTGTTATTTATTTGTGCCTGATTCCATCCCCGGAATCCACAACAAAGATTGACCTTACAATTAAATTTATGAAGATCAAAGTTGATTAGAGAGCAAGAAGAGAGTTCCATAAGCGAGAAGTGCGAGAGAAAAGTGTTACCATAGAACTTGCGATTGCTTCTAGATATTTCGATTGTAAAAGGATGAGTTTAGATGCAAACAAACGAACGAGCATTATTATCACAGATGAATAATTAGAAATAAACAATTTCCCACATTATCCCCCCTTTTCGAGATTTTGTTGCGCCAGTGTAGAGTCAATTTCTTTTCTAAATATGATTGTACGTTTTCATGCACAATAGTGATGTAATTACATACATTGCTTCATCAATTACCTCTTCGAGGTAGCATAATTTCGAGTCTGTCTGGGTAACTCCTGCTGATGGTGAAGCCGTCATTGTTTGAAATGATTCGGCTACCCGACTTTTCATGTCAACCTTCACGACGCCCTAGCATTAGTCGATTAGAGTTAGAAAATCAGATTTTATTTTAATTTCTAGTTGAAACTTTTTTAAATTTACATCTGTGCTTTCAATATTTTTTAAGAAAATTTCTTTTTTTTTTCTTTTTTCCTTTTAACAGCGAAGTATAAATTCTTAGGATTTCTTACTCTTGAGCATGCAACATACAACTGGCTATGCGTAAAAAATTATTTCTGGAGCCAAATTCCAACTTTTTGAAGGCTTTGGCCTTGTGATTTGTTTATAGCTCTCGCAAACGCAAGAAGAACAGGAAACTGGATTCTTGTCCATTCGAAAGGCTATTCGGATGGTTTCGGAATAAACTTAATTTGTACTGCCTTACATTTTTGCTCTGCTCCCCAAAATCTGATTTCGACCTGTCAATGTATGGTTATTATAGAGGATCTGACGGACGGACCAAAGTAAGTCACAAAGTTTTTTATATAAATAATTATTATTATTATAATAATAATTATTATTATTTATGCGATTAATTTTTCCCATTTGCCCCCTCCTCCCAATATCCTGCTAAGTTACATCTTACTCCGTCAAAAACGACCCAGCCCTAATTTTTCACCCTCAATCTCATCATGTAAGTGTTCATGGTACCGTCACTATAAGGATCTATATGCGAATAAAAGCCATATTATGGCGAAAATGAGCTGTAAATAACACGTTAAACTCCTTTGAAAATACCATCAGGCGAGAGAAGAGAGTAAGGCCGGATATGAAGACGACTAAAGTGTAGAGCGAGGAGAAGCCAAAAATACGTGGCGAGGGAGAGTCAGGATGGCGAGATGGGTAACAATAAGGATAGTAAACAGGCACTGACAATCGCTCGTTATCATCCACCCGTCCTGTTCGTTAATAAAAGGAGGAAAAGTAGTATCAATACCATACCGTGCCGCATCCTTCGTTAAGTGGGGCGCCGAATTCAAATTGGCAGACGATTGAAAAAAAAAAAAAAAAAAGAAAAATAAAAGAACGAAAAGATATTTAATGCGTCTATGTATATTAAAATGGAGGTGCTGGTGAGGTAAAGAAAAAAATATCAGCAGGAAAAATAGAATCGTCGAAGTGGGTTCAAATGCAAGAGCTAAAGCTATTTATTCTCACTTCCTAGGCTGTAGGAGGAAATAATGAAGGTAATTCCCGCTGCGCTCAACCCGACTGCCAGATACAAGGAGGTGATGAAAAATGATCGGGGCCGTCTAGACGAAACTAGTATATTAACCCTTTACCTGTCCTGTGCATCATATTTAACGCAGAGGACGTGTGATTTCCACGTTCGTTCATCATATGCGGTGCAAAATAGCTATAATTTTAAAAGAGTAGTAAAATTAAGGATGCTTAAGGAAAGAGTCTATTATTGAAGAGGACGTCTCAGGAAAAGCCTAATCTAATATTTAGTGCATCTTATATGACCCCAGTACGCTTGATGATGTAATTTCTCAAAGGAAAGACATTTATTTTCCATTTTACTGAAATGATTATAACCTATGCATCACATGTGATGCACAGAGTGGAGTGTAAATAGCTTATGATTTGTACGTTCTGTGCATCACATGTGATGAAAAGGTTATTTTTTATTATGTGAAACACACACTATTTGCCAAATAAATAAACTGAGTTGTCTTGCAATAGGTATAAATCTGAAAATAAGCAAGAATGTTTTGATAATACTCACGAAACATGCCCTGGACAGGCAAAGGGTTAAAGACAAAACACTAGTGAACACAAGATCTCTGTATTCTGCTGCACAAGTTATTCACCGCTATAATGAAACCATATGAGCGGTAGTTCGAGGAGCTGAATTGTTGGAGGCTCGCACGCTAAAGACGAATATATTATATATATATATATTATATATATATTATATATATATATATATATTTATATATATATAATAAAAAGGCTTAAACACTAATATTCCATGGTCATAATTTATTCCATTGGAATCGTAAATACGATCCAATTCATCAGACCTACAAATTCAAAAAGAAAACAAAAAACAACTCCTCTTGGAATTTTTATTAAAAAAATATACATGTATGGGTATTTATATATTTTGCATATGTATGTATATTTACCACTATATATATATATATATATATATATATATATATATATATATATATATATAAACCTACCTAGGCTTCACCTAAATGGATCGTCAGGGTGACCTGGCTCTTTAGGTTTGTTCTACCTCGTGTATTGAGCATTTTACGTAGTTACTTTTACTCGTTTTGGAGTTTTTTTTCTTTGGACTGAGCTTGAATTCTGAACTATTGTTTTCGCTATAATTTCATGTTCTTTGTACTTTCTTTTTTTTTATTCCTCATTTTTGCTTGGGTATTGGTTTGTTCAACTACAAGCCGAAATACCTAAGGTTTTTACAAGCGAGTACCACTATATATATATATATATATATATATATATATATATATATATATAATCTAGAAACTGAGTTGAATAGAGAAGCTAGCATATTAGCCAATAAATTTAACTTAGAAAAAAGGGCTGAAAAAAGTAGCGTAAAAAATTGTTTTATAACAATTAAAGATCATAAAAACGACTTTCTGAATGATCCTAAATGCCGAATTATAAACCCAACTAAAATACAATTAGGTAAGGTTAGCAAAATAATCTTGCAAGAAATATGCGAATCATTGAGAACATTCTTAAATATTTATGATATAAATAACAAATGTTCGTTCATTAAATATGACAAAGAATTCTATCCATCGATCACTTTAAAAAACCCTTGATGAAGTCTTACTATTAGCTAAAGAATTTATATCAATTTCAAGCGATAAAATTAATCTGATTATATATTGCCGTAAATCATTATTGTTCCACAATAACGAATTATGGATTAAAAAAGGTGATAAAGGCAATTTTGACAATCCCATGGGGGCATATGATGGTGCAGAGGTATGCGAGTTAATCAGATGCCTCCTACTTAACAAGTTAAATTAATATAGATATCCTAGCAACCATTGGTCTGTACAGGGACGATGGATTAATTATTGTAGACAAAAGTAACCCTAGGAAATGTGACGTAATCCGAAAGAAACTTCACTGGTTGTTTAAAAAATTCGGATTTAACCTGGATATAGAAATAAACTTGAAGGTTACCCATTACTTGGACATTATGCTGGATTTACGTGATGGTACAATTTCACCGTATAGAAAGGATAATCAGTACCCACAATATATCGACGTAGGTTCTAACCAGCCGGAACATATTTTGAAACAGTTACCTAAAGATTGTTCACTAACTCATCGAATAATATTTTTAACAAAAATAAAATAATCAATGAACAAGCTCTAAAGAATAGTGGACATGATATTAAATTAGATTATAATGATATGAATGATTACCCTAGAACACAAAGTAAACATAAAACCAGAAGTAGAAAAATATTATGGTTTAACCCCCATCGCCCTTATAATTCAGCGGCAAAATATTTTTAGACTACTTTAGAATTTTCCACAGTCTAATAGGTAGCATAAAATCTTTAATAAAAACTACGTCAAATTAAGCTATAGTTGTATGCTCAATGTGACCAGTTGAATTAATAGATTTAATATGAGAAAAATTAAGGACAAACCGCGCGCGAACCCCCATGCCCAGTGTAATTGTAGGAATAAGGAAGCTTGCTCCCTCCAGGGCAAGTAACAACAAGAGTGCGTGGTATACTAAGTAAAAATATATAAGGATAAACCAAACAATACTGATAAAAATCCTAGGGTCTATATAAGATCTACCCAAAATAATTTTAAAGCACGATACTATAACCACCTTAGTAGTTTTAATAACGAAATATACAAAACATAGCACTACTTTCTCCACTTATGTATGGAAAGTAAAAACAAGAGGATAATAATTTTGAAAAGTGGAATATTAAAAAAATGTCACATGTATAAAGCAGGTGAAATAATAGATTAGAGGAAAAGTTAGCAATTTGCTATGTATAAAGAAAGCAATAATTTCTTAAATCTAAAATCCTGAGTTGAAGACATAGGAGACGCTGGTCATTAGAATAGTTTTTTTTTTTTGTTCTGTTATTGTATAAAAACGTAACTCCCCCACCACCCCGTTGTTGAGTTATGGTTTTACGTGGTTGATATTTTTTTAGTCACGTGTTTATGGTTGTTTTTTTTTATGTTCTGTTCCGCCTTTACATCTTGGTCAGTTTTACCCCGATGGTAGCAGTTGGGTTACTGCTTTGGTGAAGTACGTTTTTTGACAATCTTGAGTTTGACAGTTAAGGTTTTCCATTTTTATTTGTTGAAACTTTCAATTTTTCAGTTTTCTTTGTTCTTATTTTGTGCATATTTGTTTGTACGCCATTTTTTGTTTTCATTTCTTTATTTTTTTTTTACCCTCCCCCTGTTTTTGTTATCTTTTTCGTATTTCTTTGTTTTAGTTCTTACGTATTTATTGGCTTTATTTTTCCACGTTTTCGTTTCATTTGGCTGTTTACAATTTTTTTTCTTTTGCATTATATACCTGCATTTTAAAAAATCATATATAGAAACAGGCAAAGTTTTATTTGTTCAGTCGTGGTGACTCTCAGCCACCATGAGTGAAAATCCTAATTCACCGCCGGTGCAAACGGAAAACACGGCACCAGCAAAAAAAAAAAACAAAAACAGGCCTGGTCCGAGAGCGGACCAAAGAAAAAAGATACTGCGTATTATGAAGAACAGCGGGGTACCTTCAAGGAAACGAGTTCCTCACAATCCCCGAGGCTCTGAAAGCTGTTAATACCAAAATAATCCCCCTAGTAACCTCTGATGTGAAGAGTCGTAGACTCATTGGAGTTAGCAGAGACACTATGGAGGAGACATTAAAAAGCCTCAAAATTACTCCTAGAATTTTGGCAAAAAAAAAAAAGCAATGCCATGTGGGACCTTCTTCTCGGATCGGAAGAGGAGGTGAAACAGCTCACCGGAAGTATCCTGTCAACATCTGCAACGATGCAGACAGAATACATGGGAACCAGGAAGACGAAAGTGACTATGCACGGAGTACAGGTAGACATCTGCAAAGATCGGATAGGAGCTTTCTTCCCCAAAATTCGGCCAAATGGATGAATTGAATGCAGTGAAAAGCAAAAGTGGCATTGCAACTGGAGATGTCGTTCTGCAGGTGGTGCTCACCCGACAGAACTTCCAGGGCATTTCAAACATACTGACATGCCGCGCCAAGAGAATGCTTGTGGTGGTTGAAGGGAGGAGGCCCTGCTGTTGGTCATGTGGTGCTGCAGGGCATATGGCAATGGCGTGCCCTCAGAAAAACCCGACAACAAATGCACCTCCGGCAACACCAGCAGTTCCAATAGAAAAAGAAAAGGCCACTCAAGGTATCTGAAGTGAAGTGGAGGGCAAAGGTGTCAAGCCAACCCTCTCTTCAACAAGTTAAGAAACCAGACCAAGCAGCACGGCAGGAGTGGTGTGAGGAGGTCAAGAAACAGTAGCAGCAACAACAACAGAGATTCCCCAAATCACCAAAGCAACCACAAAAACAAGTGGAAAAAAGCAGCAGCGACCGGAAGAAGAAATGGAGGTGGTGGTAATGCCTCCACCTCGCTCTTCTTCTCTGAGGAGGAGGAGGAGGAGGAACTGGAAAGAACAGTAGAGAAACGTGCTGGGCGAAGAAGAACGTGGCAAAAACCAGGTCTCTCTCTGTACCAAGTTCACCGAAAAAAAAAAAACAACAACAGAACAATTGATGAAAGCTAGAAGCCTACCCCCTCAACTACACGAGCTCCATCCCCCTCCCTCCACTTCCTCTGCGAGTTTAATGTCCACTCCCCATCACTCTTCCCCTCACACTCCCACTTATTCCCCACCCCACCCCGCCATGGAGAAGAAAAAGAAGAAAAAAATTACCTCCCGATC